AATTTCAAAAAGTTTTCAAATTTTAGTTTTTTTGATTTTTGATCAAAGTTTTAAAATATCAAAATTCCAAATTTTTAACCTTTTTTTTTTGGAATTTTGAAAATTTCACCAAACCATTAAAATTCTAAAATTATAAACTTCGTTTTAAATTTAATAGTTTAGATATTTAAGCAAACTTTAAAACTTCTAAACTGAACGTACAGTTTTGATCATTTCGCTTTTTAAAAGTTTCATTTTTTTAATTTTTTATTAAAATATAGGAAAGGGGGAAAGGACTAAAAAGTGGATACCTGTTACAAGTGCGAAACGGAATAAGAATGGAAGGAAACGAAATGAAATTTACCAAAACAAATCAAAACGAAAACAGTATTTTCTGAAAAACTAAATTTGATAAAAAATATAAAACAAGAGGCTAACTTGTAACCTATCGAATTGCTTATTACCGGGTTTGTAATAACATGAGCAACACGACGGGTGTCATATGTGGATCAGGATCTGCTTACCCTTCCGGATCACATGAGATCACCCCCAGTTTCTAGTGGGGTTCGTGTTGCTCAGTCTTTAGATTTCTATGTAGTGTGTTGTGTACTATTGTTTTTCTATTGGTCTTTTTCTTTTTTAGCCATGGCGTTGTCTGTTTATTTTCGACATATGAGTTTGAATGTCCCTCTGTTATCTTTCGCCCCTCTTTTGTTTGATCTACAGGGTGAACAAGAGAAATATTTTTCTTTTATGTCTAAAACATTATTAGTAAGACCAGATTTCGACACACTCTGATTCTCTAACTAAATTAATTGTCGACTTTGTGATTACTGCTATTTTTAAATAGCGAATAAAAGGAAATGGAATATTCGATTTTTGAAATAAGGGATAGTTCCGTATTTGTTATTTGCACTTTTGTAAATTATCGTTCGACAATTAACTTTGAGCAAAATACAAGTACGCAGCCACGTCCGCTATACATGCTGTCTTTAAGATTTATACCACTTTATTAGAAGCTTGGAGCCAGGATAATGCTAAGAGGTATACCATTTATATCAAACTCAGCGTGATAGTATTCTGAAAGTTAAATGAATTCATATCACATAAATATTTCAGTCTGAATATTCATGTACTAGTTGACGCTGTTCGTAAAGCTCCATTCTATCCATATGAGCTGTGGGCATTTTGATGAATGCGTGCCCTCAGTTTTTATTTACATGAGCAAAATCATGCAATGTTATAAATAATGAAATATGTGTTTGTGTTGTCATAATTTTGTTTATGTGATGTTTTCTCTCTTTTAGAGAGGCTCGCAGATACTTAGTCTGCTGCCCAGTCCAATTTAATATATTTTGAAAAAGAAAAACACATTGCTAAACAAAACCGCAATTTAAATGATATAATGTTTTATAAGTTCACATCACCGATACACTTTTTAGAAAGTTGAAGTGACCAATTTTAATGGTAAATTATTTTGGTTAATTTTTGTCATATATTCATTTTCGTTAGTGATTTAGCATAATTTTGGTCCTTGGTTGTCTTATTTTATTATGTCAAATGTAAAACTATAGGTAAAGTGTCCGGCTGAGATATTGTATTTTCGAGTGATATTAAATGCAATCATATCGATTAACTGCTATTTCTTAAGTATAATGATTTATTTTTGACTGTTCATCTTATTCTAAATGCTATAAATATTTGAGGTAGAAACTATGTCCTTGAATTTAACAAAAAATTCAGCGTTTTACATTATCCTGTTTTTTTCCAGAGCAAATTTTTAAACGTCCTAGTTTTTTAAAATATGTGCCGGGTTTTTTTTAAAGAAAAAATGTGAATACGGAAAAAGGCATTCTTTGTATAAACACTTTTTTTTCTAGATTTCAACTGTTATCTATAGTGAAAAACAATATTATATATTCCCATGAAGTCACAAAATATATTTCAATATTGATAAAATTTAACTGTTTTCGATTTAATGTTAACTTTCTGTACTGAAAATATTTTACAATAACCCTGCAGTATTACGATATATGAGAAATCTCCGGGTACTTTTTAAAACGGTCCTGAACACCGAATACAGGTCTTTTCAATTCAATCCCATGCTAACTTTGTATTCAGTCAATGATAAAATAATTGATACATATAACAGAGGCGAACTCATGAGTTTTAAAAATAGGGATAAGAAAACTTAGGAAAACCAGTGAAAAATCAGGAAAAAAATACATAAAAACTAATTTTCTATTAAAAGAGAACTCCCCGCAATAAATTAGATTACAGTAACAAAAACCTTAATCCGCCCTTGTACTATTTCCCATTGACAATAATATTTGAAGTGAATGGAATATCCAATAAAAATTTTAACAAATAACTTGACTGCATACGTCCGAAGCGCTTTTATGTATTTACCTACTTCTGGAACGCTCATTTGAATATTTGGAAGCCAAGTAAATATAAGAACCGAAACAATTGAAGAGGTGTATGGCCAAAAAGGACATTAAAAATAGCAAAATCCATAATAAGGGAAACTTTGCTCGAGGGAGTTGAAACCCGAGTTTCTTTATAATTTATATATAAACGGCCTATTTTAAATGATTTATTGTTGTTTACCAATGGCAAATATTTCATGCGTGTTCAGGACGATAGCAAATTAACAATAAATACAATAGGTAGGTCCTGTAATAGAGTCTGTTCAGGATGAAGGTCGGCAAATTTAGATAGCCACTGGAAATGAGTGTATATTGATTAGGGACAGATATTTGCAATCAACGAACCACTTAAAGAATTGTTGTAACGGTTCGTAACGTGCAGAGAGCGTGAGACTCTCTCTACACGCCCATTCTGACTGGACGTAGCTGCGTACTTGTATTTTGCTCAAAGTTGATTGTCGCACGATAACTTACAAAAGTGCAAATAACAAATACGGAACTATCCCTTATTTCAAAAATCGAATATTCCATTTCCTTTTATTCACTATTTAAAAATAGCAGCAAAGTCGACAAGTAATTTCTGTATATTGTTCATTTAGTTAGAGAATCAGTCAGAGTGTGTCGAAATCTGGTCTTACTAATTATTTTTTAGACCTAAAAGAAACATATTTCTCTTGTTCACCCTATAGATCAAACAAAAGAGGGGCGAAAGATAACAGAGGGACATTCAAAGTTGAAACTCATATGTCGAAAATAAACAGACAACGCCATGGCTAAAAAAGAAAAAGACCAATAGAAAAACAATAGTACACAACACACAACATAGAAATCTAAAGACTGAGCGACACGAACCCCACCAGAAAATACTGTTTTCGTTTTGATTAGTTTTGGTAAATTTCATTTCGTTTCCTTCCATTCTTATTCCGTTTCGCACTTGTAACAGGTATCCACTTTTTAGTCCTTTCCCCCTTTCCTATATTTTAATCAAAAATCAAAAAAATCAAACATTTAAAAAGCGAAATAATCAAAACTGTGCGTTCAGTTTAGAATTTTTAAAGTTTGCTTAAATATCTAAACTATTAAAATTTAAAACGAAGTTTATAATTTTAAAATTTTAATTATCTGGTGAAATTTTCTAAATTCGAAAAAAAATAAAAAATTTGGAATTTTGATATTTTAAAACTTTGATCAAAAATCCCCATAACCAAAATTTGAAAACTTTTTGAAATTTTGAATTGATAAGTGTTACACGGACCCACGAGGCACACACGATCGGATAGAGGTACTTCATTTCTGCATAATTATAATACATATGTATATATATATATATTACCTATATCACGGTCTCTGATTTCTGTATTAAGTTCTTTATTTTTATGCCATTTTTCTCCATCCTTTTTTTATACCATAATTCTCTATTATCTATATTTCCTGAATACCTTATTATTCTCTATTCTTTATTTTTGGCCTATTTTTCTCTATTCTTTATAATTTCGCCCGTTATTCTGCACTTTTTGCTCATTATAATATTCTCTATTCTGTAAACCCCATCTAGACCCTCATTTATAGTGTATATTTGTACAATGCATATCATGATATTATAAATTTTTAATTCATTTTAATAATAATAATAATAATAATATCTTTATTTAAAGCAGGAACATATATATGTTAGATATACTGTTCCTAGTTTAAAGATAGTAACTCATTTGGATTAAACCAATTTTCAATAAGGCTCTGGGTCTCTACATACAATATCAACTACATGAATAAAACATAATCAATCTATTATAATAACACACATATAAACAATAGAAGTATATATACAAACATATAACAAAAATAATACACCTATAGTATACATTGTGGTTTAACTTATAAATTTCACACTGTTAAAAATATAATGACTTGTAAGAGTATTGTTCAGTATTTGAATGCAGATACAGTTTTTGATTTTTTAATTTCACTGGGTAGTGAATTCCGCACTTTTGGACCACTAAAAGAAAAAAAATGATGATTTGTATAATTCTGTATTTGATTTAGGGACACTAAAATTATCTGATGATGAAAGTCGAGTATTGTACGATTGTTTACTATTTGTAGCCAGGCACAATAAGATTTGATAAAATATTTTGATGCCAGTTCATGTTTTGATTTGTACATTAATAATGACTTGTAAAGTATTCTCTTAGTAACGGGAATAATTCCAGAATCCTTTCCCCATACTGAACAACAGTAATCCAAATGTGGAAGAATAATAGCATTGTAAAATAGAATTCGTGCATTATGATTCAAGTATTTCTTGATTCTTTTTAATAAAGAGGGGACTCGTTAAAAATGCTTTATTGTTGATAACTATGTTTCTCTATTAATTTAAAGTATAATACCAGGAACATATATATTGATATTTTGAACGTTGTTTTCGATTTAGACTTGTTGATGTTGATATAGATATAGATATAGATATACTGTTCCCAGATAATACTTACCTACATTACTCACGATCTCTCGCTTTTTCTTCCAAGTATATTTCGGAAGTTCAAGCATTTCTCTTCCCGTCATTGCAATCTTTTCTTTAGAGTTTAAGGGAAACTTCCGATCAAACAAAATGGGCAAAAAACAACATCAGAAAGATAAGTTGTATCTTACATCTACTGAATGGAGAACAGAATTTGGAGGGTACAAAGGTCAGCTTCAGAAATCTGCAGAATTTAGACGTTTACCTTTTTACTGTTGTAGCTTATCGTTCCAACCTTTTCAAGATCCACTATGCACCAAAGACGGCGTCATTTTCGATATCATGAACATTGTTCCATTTCTAAAAAAGTATGGCGTGAATCCTGTAAACGGAGAAAAGATGACAGCTAAAGATCTGATTCACTTGAACTTTCATAAAAACAAAGATGATAGATTTCACTGTCCAGTTACGTTTCAAGTCTTTAATCAAAACTCTAGCATAGTGGCTATTAAAACAACGGGGAACGTGTTTAGCAAAACCGCAGTGGCTAAACTAAATCTCAAAACAGGTCACTTGAAAGACCTTTTAACTGATCAGCCATTTCAAAAGACTGACATCATTACCATTCAGGACCCCACAGATGTTGAAAAATGCAATTTTGCCAATTTTTATCATTTTAAACATAATTTAAAGGTTACAAATGAAGATAAATCTGAATCAAAGTCAAAGATCAGATCTGCAAGCACTATGACTCAATCTGTCCTTGATGAGCTTGAAAAAACTTACAAAGCTCCAGAAAAGGAGGAAGCATCAATGGCCAAAGCAGATAAATTTAATGCAGCTCATTATTCTACTGGCCAAGTTGCAGCATCATTTACCTCAACAGCAATAAATCCTGTCACAGAACATGAAACTGCGCTTATTGATGAAGACATACTGCGTTATGAAAGAGTGAAAAAGAAAGGATACATCAAACTTGACACTAATTATGGTCCACTGAACATTGAACTTTATTGTGATATGGTCCCAAAAACATGCGAGAACTTTTTGAAACATTGTAAAAATGGTTACTACAAAGGTTCAAAATTTCATCGCTCAATTAGAAATTTTGTGCTGCAAGGAGGAGACCCTACTGGTACAGGCCTAGGAGGGGAATCAATATGGGGTGGAACTTTCAAAGATGAATTTAAACCAAATTTACAACACACCGGCCGAGGAGTTTTAAGTATGGCAAACTCTGGACCAAACACAAACAAATCTCAGTTCTTCATCACATTCAGGTCAGCTCATCATTTAGATGGTAAACACTCAGTGTTTGGTAGAGTTGTTGGTGGAATAGGATCATTAGATGCAGTAGAACTCATTGAGACTGACAAGAAAGATAGACCAAAGGAAGACATAATCATTGAAGATTGTACAGTTTTTGTAGATCCATATGAAGAAGCAGATGAACAACTTCAAAAGGAAAGAGAAGAAGATATACAGAAGGCAAAAGAAGAAAAAGAAAAGCTAGAAAAAGAAAGAAAGAAGAAGGTTGCAGCTGAAGGTACTCCTACAGTTTACAAGTCAGGTGTTGGGAAGTACATTAACTTGGCTGCAAGTGATACTAGTTTAAAAAGACCAGGAGGCGATGAGCCATCAGAGACTGAAAAAAAGAAAGCTAAATTTGTACCAGGAAAATTAGGGGACTTTAGTAACTGGTGAAAATATATATTCAACCTATACATGTTATAATTGATTAATTTTAACCATATTCATCTTGACAGTTGATGAAAATGACATTACAATGTATGTACCAAATTTCAAGAAAATATGAAAGTTATTTGTCACATAAAGATATTTTATCATTATGTCATTAATACATGTACATGTATAATAGTTTATTACATACATGACATCTTGACTTTCCAATTCTGCTTTCTCAGATATAATTTTGTAATTTTAAGTTTATTTCTGAGGCAAGTAATCCAAAAGTTAAAAATGTGATAAAAAAAAGTGTCCTTTTTGGCACCTTGAATTAAGAAATCAATCTATGAAAGGAAAATCATTTCTTCAGAAATGTTCAGATATTCAGTAAAATGTCCTTTGTGACTATAATATTCAACGTTTTCCCCACAAATTTCATATACGTGTAGCATCCTGGTAACATGTTATTTTTAAATACATCATGTTTATCCATGTTTATAGAAATTATAGCAATCAAAACAGAATCTATAAGTCCCTTCAGGTCACATCACATTAAGACAATTTGAAACAATACATCATCACATTACCATGATGCTAACAGTACAGGCTTTTTGGAGAACACTGCTATTAAAGGTCATTTTACTCTAAACTATCTGAAAATTGTACTTTAAGGTATATTTCTATATCAATACATGACATGATGTACAATCATATCAAAGCAAAAAAAATTTATTCTTCAAAAAGACCAAGCTATATTAGTTTTATCAATAAAATTGACATAATATTTTAAGGATTGAATAATTTTGCTATATGTCAGTATGTATTGCAATATTAGTAGCCAAATAATGACTTTTGTCATACAATTTATCTAAATATCCTCCTTAGTCATATTATTATTAGTAAGGTTTACATTGATCTCAAATGGATTTATAATATCCTATCCTTTAAATTTTTCTCTATTTCATCAATTTTTTACATGTTGAAATTCGATAAAAACTTAAATTTAATTTATAACAATAAGTAACATTTGTTTTACTGCATTTTGTATTTAAATTAAAAAAAGTGAGGACTTTTAAATACAAAATGCAGTAAAAAAAAGTTCTTTTTTGACCAGGCCCTATTAGGTGGTATTACATCGTACAAAGTCTGTCCAAATTATTTTTGCAAAGAATTCCGCTCAAGCCGGTGCTAAGGGCCGTCTTAAACTTGCAGCGAGGTGAGAGTTATTTTACTCCATGTTGAAGGCCTCACTGTGACTTTGAGATGAAGAACAGCAATAAAAGCGCTGTTCCTTTGCTTTTTGTGTGTTTTTTTGTTGTGCATGTACTGATTCTGTGTCATGGATAGATACCCCATATCCCTTGTTTTTCTGTTAAAGTCAAATGTTAATTATTGTTATAAATTAGATACAAGTTTTTATGGCACATACATGTAGATGTACACAGTTATTGGAATCTATATTTAAAATTTCATCATGTTCATGTTACATGTATTATAATGATTTTTTTTTTATAGATCATGTAGACATGGTAGATGACTGTAATAAATGCATGAATTAAATAAATTTAGAAAATATGCTATTAATTGTGAAGTGTACAGTCAGGGGTATGACTTAAACAAGTGATTTTCTTATTATTTGTTTTAGTGATTTGTAAATTTCAGTAATCACCTTTTCAAGTGATTTTAATATTTCCTTTGATCTTCAAATACAGATTTGGTAAATTTCCCGCTAAATGACAATTTTTTTTTGCAATTTGCTTTTATAAATTAATTATCTCTTTTTATTATCATGATTATATTAATTTCAACAGTGTGTCTTAGGAATTTTCCTGAATTCAAATATATATATGTTAAGTACAAAAATGTACTCTTATCATTGAAGCCATCATGGCCATAAGAAACAAGTTTCTGGTTATTATAATGTAAAAGAAATTATTGAATCAATGAACTTACAGTCAGGGGTACTACTTGTACAAGTAATTTTTATTTACTTGAAGAAGTAAATATTAATATACTTAAATAAGTAAATTTGTAGGATACTTATACAAGTGTATTTTATTTACTTGTATAGGTAAAAAAAAAATTGGGCTTAGTTATGTCCCTTAGACATTCAGATTTTTTTACTTATACAAGTAAAAAAGTCATCCTATCTTCTTTTCTTGAATTCTTAGGACTTCTTTGCTCTAATAGAATTTTTGATTGACTGTCCTTTGCAGATGTCTTTACTAACCATTTAAGTGTAATTTCATGGACAATGAAAATCTCATTTGTCTGTTATCTTCAGAACACTGCTCATTTACAAGCCCCCAAGGGGCAATTTTTGAAGGCCTTGCGCAAATACTTAAGATCTTTGCGCAATCAGTTTCTTTGTTGAACTAATGAGATGAAACATTGAACTCTAATCAAAAATTATGAGCTAACCTGAGAAAAATTGTTAAAGGCATGTTTTTACATCTCAAAACTTGAGAATTTTTGTGGGATTGTAAAAAAAATTTACTTATACAAGTAAATTTTTGAGAAAATTAAGGGGAGATTATTCAAACATTATAATTAACTTATATAAGTTTATTTTATTTACTTCTTCAAGTAAATAAAGATTACTTGTACAAGTAGTATCCCTGACTGACTTAAGTCCTATGTGCATGTTTTTTACATTTATTATGAGTAATTATTGTTGATTGAAAACTTTGACTGATAAAGGATGATGCATATTTTTTTCATGTTTAATTTTCATATTTGATTTTCATTTAATCCCATTTATTTATTAAACTTTGTCATAATGGTAAAATTTCCTTACCATACCATACATTTTGCAGATACGTGTAACTCATTTTTACTGAAACTCTTGATTTTGATTTATACTAGTAAACTTGGTAATTTTTTCATAAAGAATTTGTCTCTTCAAGTTCAAAAATGAAATCAATTTAATTTATTTTTTCTGATACAACTTCTGGTAATTTCCAGTAAAAATCTGATGAAAAAACAATGTGCTGTCTTCCCTAACCATAGGACATGTAGAATGATAATACAGTCATGATAGTAAGAAAAGATAAACGACAATCAGGTTGTCGCATGTATTTCAAACTAATTTCCTAGATTCTAAATATGTGCCAGACATTTACATGTAAACTAATACACATAATACAGTGTTTCAGTTTCAAATAAAATTATCCATATTATTGATATCTGTACTTACTTTCTATTCTGAAAACTGTGCACTTTCAGGTTTTTAATAAACAAACACAGGATATAATTTTGTTCGTTATATACATATATAATATATATTAAAGCATGCAGCTGGCTCATTTTCCCTCTCATTCATGTAGTTAGGTTTGTCATTTTTTTTTATGATTTTTTCATCCATCGTCTATTATCATGATGAAATCTTATTTTGAAAATGACATGTCTGAGAGTTGGTTACCAGTTGTATCCATAATTATCTAGATTGACTATACATGTATAATGTTTTCACATTTGAAATTCTATCTCTTAATAAAATCATAATAAAACCAGATGGGCTTGTTTATCATGTTTATGTTGTTGCAGTTACATACTCAGAATCATGGGATGATAATGGATAAATGTTTAAAATTCAGTGGCAGATTGAGGGCATACTGTAAACTCAGAAATTATTGTGTGCATTTTTTACTGCGATTTAAAAAAAAATGTCTAAAAATGCAAGATTTATCATCACGATTTCACGAAAAGCTGCAGACAGATATATGTATCAAATATCAGAATTGCGAATTCTTATTATTGCGATCTTCACCCAGTCACATTATTTGCATTAATAAAAACATCGCAATAATTTCTGAATTTACAGTATTTAGAATGAGAACAGGTTAATGTGATATGAATATGAACCCAGTTTATACCCAGACTGACATGCTGAGCCAGATTTATTTACCTGCTAGCTCACTAGTCAGTAGGATGACATGTCACCTTACCAGAAGACATGTATACTGACTCGGAACTGACCTGTCTTTTCACTTACTCCTGTATGCTGTTTACTTAGACGAGGAAGCAGCTAATACAAGTATTAAAAATCTTTGGTTTGACAGCGCCAGAGATCGAACTGCCACTTGAGGCCAGCAAGCCAGAAACATGAGAGATGCTGTGTCAATTGTTTTTTTCTCTCAATAAAAAATAAACATACATGTATATATATATATATATATATTTATATATATATTAAATTGTGTTGTCTAGAACATTTCAACCCCCCTCCCTCCCTTCTCCACAAAAAAGAAAAGAAAAAAAAGGAAGGGGATGAAATTTGAAAAAAAGGCAGGACAGGACCTTTGAGTTAAAAAAAAAGGCAGGATGAGCAACTTGGCAAAAAAAAGGCAGGATGACAATTTATGTTAAAAAAGCCAGGATAAACAAATAAAAAAAAGGCAGGACCGAATAGAGTGAAAAATAAAAAGGCAGGACAGAGATTACAACTAAAAAATGCAGGACAAAATTTTTCATACTAGTCCCCCCCCCTAAAAATCAAATGGTAGCTCCATAACAATCAAGACCAAAGCTAAACTAAACTGCACTTGAATCATGACACCTACAACTTGAGGGGGGGGGGGAGTTCACATTTCAAGTTTAAAACAAACCTTAGCACTATTTTGAGCAGAATTGCTTGGTAAATGTTAAGAACATTACATAATTGTAATAAAGGGTAATATCTATTATTCTAGGCAAAGACATCTATCTTCTCGTGCCAGCCCTTTTCAAAAAACGGGGGGGGGGGGGGGGGGGGGTTCCAACCCAGGATAAAAAGGGGGGGTTCCAACCATATGTCCCCATTCAAAAGCATTGATCGTTAAAAAAAGGGGGTTCCCGCGGGACCCCTTCTGGATCCGCCACTGCAACTACTGTTGTAACTTGCATGACATTCTAACTGTTGACGCAGAGAAACAGTACAAACATTACGAAAACCACCTCCTTGCATTGTGAACTTTAAAAAATACATGTATGAATTGCCAACTGGACTTTTAAGCAAGCAACATTCAATCATTCAAAATACGTTAGAATGTATTATTTTGAAAACTGAAATTGGAAGAGAAAATCTGACAAAACAAAACTGTTTGGAATGTCAGTATCGTCAAGGATTTGTATAGAAAGATTCATGCTTGACGACATTAAATGTGTTGCACAAAAAGCTCATCAATGATGTCCTCAAAAAATAGTTGGAGTAAATGTTGGACATAATGCAGTAATTTCTTCTTGAAATGTGTGGTCAGTTCTCAACTTATGTAATTGTCGAAATAACAGCTCACAATCACTTGTTGTGGTAAGATTAGTTGAGCTGGTCACAAAAATGGTTTTGCACCTATTTCCTCAAATTGATAGTTTCGGAAGAGGAAACAAATTTGCAGATAGCAATAATGTCATCATTTACAAGAAAGGGATCTTTTTCAATGTTTCCTAGAGTTGACATTAAGGCTTGGTAGGAAAGATGGTGTCAAAATCATTTCCACTAAAAGTAAAATGTTTCTTCTCTCTTAGGTTCACAAGTTAATGTTTTGTGGTCATTTGCTTTGGCATCAATATTGTGTTGGTTTTTTGCTTTCGAGATGTTTCGGCCATGTACCCGTTCGGCCATACACTAGTTCGACCGTGGTCGACTCGGTCCATTACACATTTTTTTCTATGCATTGTGTTGAATAAAGAAATAAGATGTATGTAAACATTTCTTTATCGTATTTGATTAGACTTTCGTAATAAAGGTAAATTAAAGGTAAAAAAGCAGTGTAAGGAAAAATAGCACAACAAGTAGATCCAGTTGAAAATAAGGTTGCCAGAATTCCATGACCTAGTATTGTTTGTTATTCCCTAGTTTTTAGTTTTTGTCTATGTTATTCACGGGTAGTAACGTTGTCTTATCGTGGAGCGTTTAGTACAGTGTCATAGTTTGGTTAAGTCGGTCATGGTTAAGTTATAGACTCGAGTTACTTCCCGGAACGATTGCCTCCGTTCTTTTCAAATAAGCAAATAAGATGCTTGAATTTATATTGTAAGTTAAACGATCTACATTGAAATAGTTGTTTTTAAGAAATTAACGCACGATAAACAAAATACCGAAATTGATATGGTTTGGTTAAGCAATTGACATGGTTCAGTTAAGTGTCTAGAAATTCGTCATGGTTTTTATCAAATTTGTCATGATTTAGATCCAAATTAATACATATTTGTTTCATCTTAATATTGATAGTTTGTTTGAAGGCGCTTGTGAAAAAAACGAAGTAAAACAATTTACAAATTGACTAAGAAGAAAAAAAAAGCCTTTTTCACCAAATTTGGTGGTCGTAATCGGGAAACCGTACATTATACATTTTTACTTTTCGTGTGCTTCCTAAGATAGAATGTATATTAGCCACTGCTCTTTTTAACTGCTATTCGATCAAATAAATTACAGAAAGCGTTGCTAGAATCTTTTCTCCGTATGTCCATGATGGAATCTGCCGGGAATATCGAGAGCGGCGCCACTAGTCAAATGGTTTAAGACGTCTACCTAAAGTTGCAAAACGTAGCAGCTAATCAAAAATAATTGTTGTTTTACATTTTCTAGCAAACTATACATCTGTTGTTTTTATTTTGAACCAGATTATGTCTAAGATGAACAAAAGAAGATATGAGGGTAATACATCCATAATACAATAACCCAATTACAAAACTAACCAAACGATATTGAGAGAGCACCATACAGTGTTCAACCTTCCACGGGACAAAACATTAACATGGAAGCAGATAAAACTTATTTTTTTTGATAAACTATAAATTACTTACATTTCCGAAATTAAATATATGAAAGATCACAATTTCGAATTAGAATTAGGTCGACATAATGTCCATTTTTTATCAATTATTATTACGAATGAATAAAAATTAT